GATACTGTGAACTGCTGTCTTTATTTGATGAAGCAAACATTTCTGCAGGCATGTTGTTTTCCTTAGTGGATGAGCTAGGCTGCCCTCTGTTGGTACACACCTGGAAATAAAATTACAGACTTCTCTGTGAAGTTCTGTACAACAGTGATTCCCAACCAGGGGGTACATCTACTGTTGTCAGGGTCAAGGGAGTAGGTTTGACATCAACATTGGTAGGGACCCAACAACACATAGAATTTTAATAAGCATTTTGTTTTAATAAATTTGCATTTTACTAGGAGTTTTTCATATATGTTATAAACTTATGTCTTCATATATCCAGAGAATGTATATATGTTATAATAATATATCCTCTTATAGGTGAAACATATGGTAACATCAGTCGATATAGGGACATATATGTCATATATATGTCATAAGTCATAGTATACTTGTGCATAAAAACATCATAGTGTAGTAAGGCATAAAAAGTTATAGTATAGTAAGTCATAAAAAAACGCCATGGTATAGTAATAGCATAAAAAGGTCATAGTATAGTTAGATGTAAAAATGAATTGTATTATAAAAGGTCATAGTATGGAAAGGCATTAGAGTCACCAATAAACCTAATGCGCATGTCATTGTTGTACATTGGTATGGTTTACATTTACATTACTTATTTGGCAGAGGCTTTTATCTAAAGCAATTTCCAAATGATGGACATACAGTAACTAAAACTTCAGTGCAGCAGGAGACCTTGGTGTCAGTACTCAGTACTACATGTAATTAATAAGTGCAAGGAGATCTGATAAAGAAGTGCACAGAAAGTGCATTGTAAGTGCTAGTTAAGCATGTTAGGGTCTTGGAAGTGTTGGGAGACGAGGTGCTCTTGGATAGCATTCAGGTAGCTTGTTCTACTGTAGGGGAACCACAGACGAAAAGTCAGGACAGTGATTGCCTTGTGTGCGGGGATGGCAATGCCAGATGACGTTCTTTAGACAAACACAGTAGCCGAGATGAAAAACATCTTTAAGTGCTAGTTTATAATAATTTTTTAAGAACATGTTCCTTCTTTAACATGTTTGAGTAGGTTAGGGTTGTACATGGTGAATCCAGTTGCAACATACTGATCAACACATTTTCACCTTTTAGAGACAGCAACCATACAACTCAGTTTTAAGTAGGAAAAGCAAGTTTTTATTGTATTTCACTGTCCTAAGTGCCACTCAGACACAAAACCACAGCTGCGTGCAGGATACAGAAAAGAGAGGCCTGACTAAGGCACGTACGGATAGAAAATCTCCAAAAACAAATCTGTCTAAATGAAACATCAGATATGTACAAATATACCTTAGACTGTCCAGTGTTAGATGTCAGGTTGGTTTGATAACAGGGTTTCTGTTGTGTTCTTCATGTGAAGCAGTTACACTTAAAATAACGGAACAGGAAATAAGAAGAAGTTTGATACAAAGAAAAAACAGACAAACAGCGTCTAATGGTAGCAGAAATACCTTGTGACATTACCTCAGTGTTTTCACTGAATAAAATGTAATAAGTCAAAAAGAATAAACATCATGGTCAAACACACTGTACATCCATGAACATGTTTGAATAAACAGCATGTCTTCCAGTGTGACAGTCCTTTTCATATCTGACTACTGCATGTTAAACCATCTCATGAGTTTTTTCTCAGCAAAACGGTGGGAATGTGGAGAGAACAATAACACTGGGGTGACTGAAAATTTATGAAAACCAAAACACATCATCAGGGTGATAGAATACAGAAGGAAAATAAGACTCAGCCTTTGATCCACTCAAAGGTAAAGTAAAAATGGTACATTTTATCCCCCTACGATTAGTGAATGAGCATGTCTGACAACACTAAAAAAAGAGAAACAAAAAAATTTCAGGTGCCACTATTTCCTGGTACATTCCCAGAACAAAAGCAATGAGTGGACAGTGTTTGTTACAAGATCCTGGGATTGGGCACACTAAGTTCCAATCCTTCCCATGATTAAGTGCCTTATTTCAAAAATATTCGGCAATATTTCAGCACCACTTCTGGTTCTCATAACAACACTGTCCAGACCTCACTTTTCCTTTCAAGTCTATCAGCTGATAAGCCTGTATTCACAACCCCCGGGAGCTGTTTATCAGAGGAGGTGAAAAAGCTCCCGTTCCTTTGCTTGCACCAGAATAACAGAAGTTCCTGGTTGTTCTCCCTCTTCAGAGAGCTTTCCCTCCCCAGTTGCTGCTCAGCACAGCCTCAGTTCATAGACTGTTATCGCACTCTCATCTCATCCACCCACCACGGTTCAGGGGCATGCCAGGTGGAGGGGGCAAGGGGACCTGTGACTGTCCTGGGGGCACAGGGGGCGGAGGAGGGTACCCAGCGGGTGGAAGGCCTATACCTGGAGGGGGTACGTGCCCTGGTGGCATGCGTGGAGGTGGCGGTGGAGGGTAGCTGTTGTAACCTGGAGGCGGATAGGTCGGGGGCAGGCTGGGTGGTGGGTAGGTGGAAGGAGGAGGTGGAGGGCCTGGAGGTGGTGCTGCGGGTGGTGGATAGACGTGGGGGTGGTATGGCGGAATTGGAGGTGCATAGCTGGGTGGCATGGGGGCATAGGAAGGCCCCTCTGTCTTCATCATTGACTGCAGGCTCTGGTAGCCCTCCCCAGACATGTAGGAGCTGGTGGTGGACATGATGTAGTTGGAGGGCGGAGGTGGAGGAGGGCGATGGGGCAGGGGAGGGGGCTGGTGTGGAGGTGGAGCATGAGGGGGAGGAGGAGCAGTCTCACTTCCTGGTTCTGCTTCTGTGGGAGGTGCTGGAGCTGGAACTGGAGCTTTTCGGTCTAGTGAGCGACAGGAAACAGCAAAGTGAAAACAACTTGTTAAAAATTTGGCATCATCTTGCCTGTAAATAATACAATGCTACTCATTCCCACATGATCTCAAATAACCTCTCCATTCCCAGACAGTGAGCGCACAGCCAGACCACAACTGCCAGGCTTCAGCCACATAGGAGGTCTCATTATCGGGCTCAAGCACTAATCAGATTGGTCTGGGAGAGGTTAGGAGTATGCGTGTGTTAGGAAACATAATGTCCAGACAAGTTGCTGGTTATGTAAGCAGACTGAGAGGACTAAAGACTTTGGGTTGCTTTCTAAGCTCGAGTCCCAGGTAGGGGGTCCTGGCTGCTCATTATGGGCCTATTTGGTGACACACGTAAAGAGACAGCAGGGTGTTCAGATGATGTCAACACATACCTATGCTCTACCCTTAACTACATCTAAATCATTGTAACTTCCTCACAAATTTAACAGGAGGTTAGAGAACAAACAATTACCTGAGGGAGGCTGCGATGTAGGTAGAGGGGGCATTGGGCTCTCTAGTCGAGGAATCTTTGACCCAACTTGTTCTGTAAAAACAACAGTGAATACCAGTACATAAGATGCAAAAGCTTTTTAAAATCAGGAGGGCACTTTGCTGTAGGTTTGAATATTCATAAAATCTTATCATGCTAGTTAGCAAACTTTTGATGGAGGTATTTCAGTGAATGAACAGACATTTGTAAGATTTCAACTACTTTAAAACCCAAAAGAGCAGAATTTTGCCTGCATAAGGTTTAACAAGAGTGTTACCTGGAGCCTTTATTTCATCTTTGGGGGATGTCTGAAACAAAGAAAAGTGAATGCAAATACTCAGTATCATTTTGAGGTAGGTAATGTTGAGTGTTGGTGTGTGAATCATGGTAAACGCACACACAAACTGTAGGATATAATTAACATTTTAAATGAGTAAATACAGAAATTTAAGCTGGGTGGAAAAGCAAGGGACTTTCCATTAGCCATAGTTTTAAGACATCATCATTGTAATTCAGGTGTACTCACATGTGAGCGTTTGAGCTGGCGTGCAGGGCTGCCACCTTGAGGGGAAGTCTTCTTTGGTGGTGGGGGAGGAGGATTGGAGGCTGGGGGCTGTCCCTGTGGAACCGGAGGAGCAGGGATTGGAGGAGCAGGCGCTCGCTCCTTCTCCTGCATCTGCTGAGGGATGGGTTTGTTGCCCTGGGAGTACAGGTCCAGGATCTGGTGGCAAATGTCTGGAAGACAGAGATGTTTTTGTTGAGACAAGTCTGAAAGCAGATGAAACAAATATCATAGAGAGGTGTCAAGTGTCATGGCTTTATGATGAGCACCTTCAAGCAGCTCAACTGGGACGTCTTGGACAAACTGCTCCCACCAGCGGCGTGACGACTGCTTGGCGGTCCACTCCTGGATGTCAAATTTACAGAGGCGTCCAGCCAGGTACATGACGGCTACTGCAATAATCTCTGGCTCCCATTGCAGAGACAGCATGGTGCACAGGCTGGAAGGGACACAGGCAAAATGGTTCCATTCAGATCTGAGTTTTGTCAACAAAATCCTTGTGTAAAGAAGATTTGGAACTTTAAAAGACATCACTTATATTCAAATTCTTATTGTATACTCTTTGAAATGATTAAATAAGTCTTTTGCCATTTTGTCTTTATTTGTCAACACACAGCAGAGAGGCAGACAGGAAATGTGGGGGAGAGAGAGTAAAGGTGTTGACAGGCAACAAAGCCCCCTGGCTGGATTCAAATCGGGGACATTGTGGTTATGTGGTACTCCTCTTAAACCACTGTGACGCCCCCGTACACTACGTTCCTTTATAAATAAACATTTCTCAGACTGTAAAGCCTGTTTCAGTATTTATCCAGTCATCAATACACATTACTTACCAGCTGACGGGTAAGTTGGTAGAGTTTTAAAGTAAAGTAAGTAAGTAAATCAAATGCATGATACACCACACTACAGAAGAAATCATCTGACATAGAGAGTGAGATCGGGGGACAGTGTTTAAACCCCAGCTGCTCACCTGTCGTTGACAAACGTCCATGCCATTTGCAGCACCTTGCACACTTTATTCTTCTCCCCTGTAGCAATGAGAAAAAACAGAGCATATGCTTAACTGGCACCTAGCATAATAATGTATCAGACTGTGTGTGGATCTGATGACATACTTTCTGACATACCTTTGAGCTGCTTGACGTAGCGCAGCAGGAACATGTAAGGGTGCTCCACCTGCAGGTCAAATTTGATAGTCTGGAGCAAGATTCTCTCCAACACCATCACCTCTTCCTGTTGAACAAAATACAAATACGTTAAGTATTCCTGTTGGTAGGACATTTACAGTATATACTGGTAACTTTAATGGTCCTGAGTGGAAAAAGAATCCTACAGCATAAGATTACTGTGTGGTTGTTTGTTATAGCAGATTAAGTGCAATTAGGCTGCAGCACGTGTTTGTTTTTCCTTTGTAGAGCGACATGATATCATGGCAGGGCTCTGTAATGCTGGTTTACAACAGATTTTAGAATATTATTTTCTAATCTGAATTCACTGACGAGAACAAATTCCCTGACTGAGATAGTAGGGTACAGTATACTGACAGGGACAATGTCTATAGACAACAGAGTATAAATAAAAGAAACTGCACCTTTGGGTCGTCGCCAAACTGGGCAAACTGCACATCATTCAGTAAGCTGCGGGCTGTTTTGATGATGTCTTTGCATTTCTTTGGGGTTTCCTCCACTTTCCCCGCCAGGAAAAGACAGCATGCACCCGTCACCTGTTGAGACACAAATCACAACAGTAATCCTACACATTTAGTCCACTTCCAGGAATTAGAAAAAAATAAAGTTATCAGCTGACCATCAATTGAACTTACATATCTGGGGAACTGCTTGAAGGAGTGAAACATGTAGAAGCGGTGGAAATATATGATGCCAGTTGCCAGTGTGTCATAGTGTCTTGATGACAGTCAAGGACATGACAGAAACCGTTTACAGTTCTTTGCACATTTGTCAGATATCAGCAGCAATATAGAATAAATTCTAACAAAAAGGTTTGACTGTGCTGCTATTATCATTAAATACATTAATTCAGCACTGCTTTCTATAAACTACTTGCATGCATGTCTTTGGAAGAAAATTTTATTTGCAAAAGAGTATAGTAAAAGTAACCAGATGTGGTATTTTAGTTGCATAATTTCTTCAAAAGTTGGATGCTATTATGTCTTTCTGTCTGTTATGATTTTATTTACTGTATTTTCATCAAGAAGAGGATTGTGGCACTGATGTATCTTTTAACCCCTTTCCCAGTATTCAAAACTGTCAATAATCAATCAAGGATACAGGCCAAGTCGTGTCCCCACATCAAATATGAAGCGGGCTCCTTCTCGCCGATACCGAGCCTCTGTGCCAGGGTCAAGGCCCTCAGACTGAGATGGGGTGTGGGCCAGATCCTTCTTGTCCCAGTACCAGCATGGCTTGATGTGGTCCAGTATTGATTGGCCAGTCATTGAAAAGTTCTCCTTGGATTCCTTCATTGGCTGAGGAGATGCTACGTTGGACGGACCAGCTGCGCTGGACTGCTGAGAAGGAGAAAGGCTGCAGTTATGGCCATTCTTAGTCATGACCATTTGGCAATCAAGAGTAGGACTACCTCATCACAAGAACAATGTTAGGTAATCTGGAAAACTGTTTGAATGAACAACACTGATGTTCAACCAAAGAGAATCAGGGGTGTCATACCAACTCTGTGGAGTATATAGTGAAAAACGTTCATATTTAGACAGCCTATGACAACCCTAAATCTTGAGTTGCGAAACTGCCACCTTTATTTTAACTTGAGAATTTAAGCACTCTACAGCCATTAAAATACACAACCTCCATATACGCAGGATGCAGTCAAACTCATAAGCCATTTCATGTGATCCAAACTGTGTGAAAGGAAGGAAGAGGGATCACTTTTTATCAATATGCCTTCACCTCATGTCCCGTTTCAGTAGAGATGCTAAGCTAGCTGTTAACAGTTCAAAATCCTATAAACAGAAGAGTGACAAGGAAAAAAACATAAGCCGACAGGGACGTCATGTTTGGCATGGCACCTCCTCTCCCCTTCATTCATTCATTCATTCATGGGTAACCTCCACCTACCGTTAAACCTGTAACTATGAATATAGCAAAATATTAATTGTACGACATGATTAATAGATTAATGTGGATGTCGATGGCAACGAAGAAAATTCCCCCGCGATTAGCATAACGAACCCGTTAGCTTCTCGCTAAGATTAACTAATGTTAGCTGTGCTAACGCTAACTTAAAGTTAGCTTCATGGGACCAAATAACCAGACGCGCGTAGAGCTGTATTGTGCGAATATGTATAAACCACGAGATACGTAGGTAAGCTCATACACCGGGATGCTAAAATTAATTAAACATTCGAAATAAAGGCAGTCAAAGTTGTAACTTTAGCATGTGAGTGGCTTCGCCGGCCACCGCGGCTAGCTAACCTCGGCTAGCAAACTTGCTCCACTCGAGGTCTTAACACCGCTGAGGCTCGGAGCGCTGGAACCTGCCAAAAGTAGTTAGAATTCACCCCGAATATCGTCCGTGTGTTTGTAACGAAACACGAGTCTTACCTTTAACATGTAGCCGTCGGAGTATATCACCCAAAACAGACAGCTGTATGAATAATCCGCAGTTATTCACAAGAAGTTGGCTAACAAGTGATCAACAACAGTCCCCATCGTAACAAGGGCATCGCCATTATTCAGTACGTCAGTGACTGTTGGCCGACGTCATTACGCAGGGCATCTGGTATGTCTTTTGCTATGGTTAGTTTTCTTTTACCTTTCCTCTGCTAAATTAATTTGACCAATGTTTAAAATAATAACCCTGCTACTAGAACCCCCCATAAGAAGGTATACGTGTAATAAATCTTTTTAATGGTAAAAATGTTATTTCCAATAATATCCACTAGAGGGAGACACATAATTACTCGTGTACTTGCGGAGACGTGACTGGATTTTTGGCACATGCAGTCTATGATTTGATAAAATAGTTGAATAAAGATGCTTCACTTGCAAAATCAGCACATTGTCTGTAAAAATCAATCTTGTGAAGAAGATTTCAAATTGCAAATCAAAAGAAAGCAAAAATTTTCACACATCATAGCTTGAATATTTTAAGACAATACCTTGAATGCTTACTTGATACTGGATTTGGACACATACTGTTTAAAATTGACAAGTGGGTCTGTGGTGCTGGCTTAAGCGTGTAGTCCTGAAAATTTATAGAAAAATGCCTCTGTGTCTACAGATTTTCTTGCCAGAGTAACAGATAAGAATGACACTGAGGCAATCCTACCATAGTTTTGGCTGTGTGTGTGTGTTTTTTTTGTCTGATATCTTAAGACATATATTATAATTTGTGTCATTACAAAAATCTGATGTTTGACTGAGAGTGTAACATAAAAGGAATACCAAAAAACAATATCTTGTTTTATGAGTTACAGGTGACATGTTACAGCCAGGTGTGACCATGAATTAAACTTTACATGAATAAAACAGGAATAATTGGTTGCACATCAAGTGAAAATAATTGATATTCTTTAAACACATGTAGGCTATGGCTATAAAATGCAGAAAATCTACAAGAGGAGTAACCGGCAAAAAACAAAACAAAAACACACAGATTTAATGGTGAAGGTTTTATGGTGAATAAAAAAAATATTATTAGTTAAAACAAAGTTTTTTTCCCGTTTGACTTTTGAAGTTGGTATGACCAAAAACTCATGATATTCATCATCACCTCTGAGTGGTTTAAAGGTTAGTCAGTGTAAGTGCAGACTACATGTAACATCTTGTGCCCTCTTTGTTCCCCTCTCAGCCTCTCTTCAGAGAAAAGCCAGCATTGAATCATTTACTTCTTCCAAATTAAAATTTGGAATCTGCATGCATTATATATTCACCCGTGCTCGGACAAATCCTCTTAACTGTGGGAGAAATTGTCAGGATGTGTCCTGTAGAAAAGTAAGAGCCTTGTCTAGTTGTATTGCCAGTAGCAAGGGAGCATCTCAATCTGTCACTCAAGTCCACACACACACACACACACACACACACACACACACACACACACACACACACCAACCACAGTAAATCAGCTTATGAATAATATATACTTGTACTTTCTTTATTAATATTAAACATTGCATAATGAAGCACCGACTATAAGCAAATCCCAGAGCAATATTCATATTACCATGAGCTGTCCTAGAGTGGACCTTTCATTGTTTATGTCAGTCCTGTCACACTGTGGTTAAACACATCAAAAAGGTTCCTTTGACCAGTTTGTACACTTCACCTCGAGAACATTGAATCCTCTTTTTGTTCTTAAAAATTGCATTATATGCACTTTTCTTTCATGTATGTTGGTCTATTTTAAGATTTTAATGTTATTTTGGTATTCTTTAGAGAGTAAACAGATGGGAGGGACATGAAAAATGGAAGATAAAAAGTGTGACGAAGGTTGTGACCCAGAATCAGAGCCGGTTAAGCCGCGTGTACTTTTGTCCACTGATGTGCGAGACTTAAACTTCGTCCTTGGGCTCATTTTTATGTTTTAACATAAATTATAAGTGTCTGGAATCTCCTTAAAACTTGGGTCATTTTGAAAAAGAGCTAAAGTGTCGACATAATGTCTCTTGTTACTTGGACAAAGCTTTTATTTCCACATATCCTCATCTCTTGAGTAGGTAATGCCCTGCGGTGTGTTCAGGTATCTCGCATTCAGTGATGGCACTTACCACACGAAATGCATGTCTCCTTAGAGGCAACACTTTGGACTTAAAACCTTTCCTGTGTCCACAAGCAGGGTATTTGTGGTATGCTGGCCCTGTGCAACCCAGCTTAAACTGCCTTTGCCCGGAGCCAGCAGATACAAGCTATAATGGAGGCATTGATGTATTATTGAGAAACCCATGGGTAAGGATCAAGGAGCTGCTCGCAGCCAGAAGGGATGGCAAGAGAGTGTGTGTGAACTCAGGATAATGTTTTCCTTCAGCATCCAATGTGTCCACGACTGCTGTTGCTCTCTTGGCCTGATTCGAAGAAGAAGACATTTCATGTAATATCACATACCGAATTTATGCGCTCCAGTCAAAGCAATATGCTTGACAACATGCTCGGCCTATCTGTGAAAGATAGCTGTTGTGCCGTAGTGTTTCCATGTGGAGTCTGCTGAGGTTATGTCTACTTGAGCCAGAGCTGAGATGACATTTCATTTATATAAATAATTACTGTCCTGAAAGTCCCCTAGGCCTGCCCTGAAGCAATCAAACTTCTAATGCTCTTAAAATTGCCCACCATGTTTTATTAATGGCAGACTATAAAATGTATTGCTATAGCTTGCACACTTCTCTACTGATCCACAAGGAAATAGTATCAACTTTAAATGGCCGTATTAGCCTTTTATTTTTATGCAACAATGTATTTCGACCAAATTACAGCACTGCACATGTTTGAAATGTATGGTATGGTAAAAAAAAAAGAAGAACTCTTGAGTTTATTCTTAGCTGAGCTTCCGCCTGTACAAAGCACTTATCTGTGCACACACTGATCTAAATGAATACAGTGAATCATGTGCAGAACGATTGCCCATTAGTGCCATTAATTGCCACTGAGTGAACCTGATCTGCTCTTCAAAGACTCTCTTAGAATCTGAATTGAGGCTTCATCCTAAAAATAAGAATAAAGTATAGCAGTGCCGTGTTAAGGTATCACCCCCTAAACAGATTTGTAATGTCTCCAGACTGTGCCAACAGAGGGTACTGTTGCCTCACAACATGTTTAAATGATCCAAACAACAAAGATTCCCCCCACCCCTACCCCCCTCTGATCCAATATGAGGAAATAGGTGTGCTTTGCATTTATATTAATCATGTGTAGTGGCGTTCTTTGGTCATTTACATAGCCCAGAATGCCACAATAACATAAAAGTATCCATTATATAAATTAAAGGTGACCTTTGAACCCAGGTGGTTTGGTTAGTCTGATCTAGGTGTGCCTGCTCCTGATATTTTAGAACAAATTCTGATATGCCTGCACAATTTCATCTGGCATTGTTTGAAAAAATGAATGTTGTAATAATCAGTAAACTGATCAAAGCATGTAGATAAAGAATCATTTTGATCAAGGGAAATGATGATAAGACTGTTGGACATGAAGCTCTTGTGGATTGAATGACCATTTGAGCTGAATGATGAATGTTCAGGTGGAGGATCATTTTTTGTGGTAACTTAACACTCCTTCAAAAGGCAGACAGTACGAGCGCGACTTTGACTGGTAATTACTTTCTGTGTGGAGCCCATCGCTGAGCTCCGGGGAGCCACCGCTATCTGCCCCCGGTGTCCGTGTGTTGTTGTCCGCCGCCCTCCTCACATGTCTGTGGTGTCTAACGCGCAAAAACGTCACGGACTCACTTGAACTTGAAACCCATCCCACTCCACGGAGGCAATCCCCCGAACCACACACGCGCGCGCGCACACGCGCGCACACACACACACACACACACACACACACAGGCTGCATATAGTCTGCACACGCACAAATGCGGGGTCCTCCCAAACAGAGCCTCTTTCATCGTGTGAGTCAACAAGAAGTAGCCTCGACACTGTAGGAAACTGGGAAACATTGGACCTCTGCTTGTTGGACTAGGAGGAGGAGGAGGTGTCTTGTCTGCCCGCCTGCTCTCGCTCTCTCGCTCTCTTTCTCTCTCTCTCTCCCTCTCTCGCTCTGCCTCTCTCAATCAGCGAGGCTACTGCCACCAGAGCCAAGAGTTGCCGTTCCGCGCACCGATGCCAAAACGCGCAGGAGGAGTCAGTGCCAAAGGGTCATTTTAGCGCACCACTGCTGACATCGAAGGACTGTAGGGAATCCTAGAATAAACAGCAGCCATTTGACCCAAGGTGATATAATCATATCATTAGAATTAAGAGAGGGGAAAAGGGGAGAGGAGCCAAATAAGAGCCAATACCTTTCACCGGTGGAGTGCACCGTACTTCATCTGTCACCACGGTCGCTGCAGAGGTGGGCAGTCCAGGATTTTTATCTGAAAACGATCATTGCAAAAAATATTATCTACCTGCGCACATATCAGCTCATCGGCCACTAATAGCCAACTGCTTCCTAAAACTACACTTTGGCTTCCTTAATCCAGGTGTTGCGTCCTTACGAAGACGCTGCCGGACATTGTGGACAAACTGGTCTTCCATCCTTATCGCGCTCCTGTCCGACTCCTCACCTTCCGAACGCGCATCAAGTTGCAGCTGAAGACTGACTGTGAATAGCAGAGGGATTAGGCGGAGGGAAAGTTGGTCTCCTGCGATCCAGAGAGAACCGACACCACGGTCCAAGCCGACTCCAAGTGCCGTTCACCGGGCGATGCCAGAGTAAATGCCGGGGCAATGTCCCGCCGCAAGCAGGTGAACCCGCAGCACTTATCGTTGACGCACAGGGAGACAATACAAGGTGAGTTCAATTCTTTCGAGTCTTCTCACTTCATATATAATTAAGTTTATTGGTTTAAATGATTTATAGTTTATCCTTGTTATTAATTCTGATTTTAAAAAAAAAGCATTTATTGAGAAAAAGATTCAAGTCGTGCACATGCTTTGTTTTAAGTGTTTGAAAAAGCGTCAAACAAAGAAGCTTAATACCGACAATAACTCTGATCGGTGAAAATAAATTCACCATGT